TATATATATATATAGATTTAATCAAGTTTTCTCATTTTTATGATAGGTGAGTTTGTTATTGGCCGCGTGATTAAAGCGATGAATTCAAATTGGCATCCACAATGTTTCCGCTGCGAAGAATGTAACGGTGAATTGGCGGATGCGGGCTTTATCAAGTGTCAAGGCAGAGCCTTATGCCATACATGCAACGCTAATGTGAAAGCTGGTGTACTTGGAAAACATATATGTCATCAATGCCAGTATGTTCTCATTATTGTATAAAAGATGTAGCTTTCGTATTATGATTTCGTAAATGATAGGCAGTTTTTGCAATCCAAATGTTTAATTATCAAAATATTTAAAATGATGCTTAAGCGATCTTTTTTTAATTTTATTCTGAAAAGAAATTATAATCTTTTTTTAAACGCACTTATAGCTTCTTGAGATAGATTTATAAAAAAAAAATTTTTTAATCTAAAATATTTCTAGTCTAGAGAATGGAAAAACTTTTGTAACTAGATTGCTGACTCAATTTAATAGAAAGAAATCACTCTGATTCCGAGAAGTCCTTGTATCGCGTGAATTTATGTGAAAACACTGCGTTCAATCATAACAGAAAATATCATAAATGTTAAATGTCATTTTATGATAGCTTTGTAATTTTATTGTATTCTGAAAAATAATATAAAAAACGATAGTTTATAGTAACAAATTGCAAAAGTCGATGAAGTAGGAAGTAATGTTCATTTTTTTTTCATATGTATTACATTATTTATTTATTATAAAGATAATAGGTATATACTCAATATTTACTTGAGCAGTGATTATCTGCGTGATTTATACATATACATGTGAAAGTGAGTAAACACAAATATGGCGTTGCCCAACGGTGTTTTCAAACATGGAAGCAAAGTCAGCAATCTATTTATAGAAAAACTTATAATTTACGCAATGGAACACTTGTTTGAAAATTGTAGTAGTTATAATTTTCTTTTGTAATTTCTAGCGGAGTAATCGATGATAAACCTTTACGGTTCCGTGGTGAACTTTATCATCCTTATCATTTCAATTGCACAACTTGTGGAATAGAACTCAATTCCGAAGCCAGAGAAGTCCGTTCTCGACCTGGCTATGCTGCCAATGAAATGGTAAAGATTATGTTATAGATAATATTTTACAGAATATAGATAATTGTTTAAGTCTCAGATTTTATAAGAAATTAGCTAGTATATCTAAATAGTATATCTAAAAAAAAATAAATACGTTTATTGTATATGAACAGAATTTAATGTTTTAAATTTAATTTTTTTTAACACCTTTTGCAGTTTTTCTGTAAAGTTGATATTATTTGAGTAAAACATTATTGAAGACAAATTTTCGGCAATTTTTAGTAATTAATATCTTATTAACTATTGTAAAAATTGCAAAATGGTAGAGGACTTTTCTTCTCAGTTTAGTCCATTCCCTGTGCGAAAGACTTATCACTAATTTCCAAACATTCTGTATAGCTACAAATTTATTTTATGTATATATATATATATATATACACACACACACACACACAAAGATGCTTTTACAATTTGATTCGGTCTTAATAATGAACTGTATGTTGCGTAGAACGAGCTCTATTGTTTGCGATGTCACGATAAAATGGGAATCCCAATTTGTGGCGCCTGTCGACGTCCCATCGAAGAACGCGTAGTAACGGCACTTGGCAAACATTGGCATGTGGAGCATTTTGTATGTGCTAAATGCGAAAAACCCTTCCTGGGTCATCGCCATTATGAGAAAAAAGGTCTTGCTTATTGCGAGACTCATTATCATCAATTGTTTGGGAATCTCTGCTTTGTCTGTAATCAAGTTATCTCTGGAGATGGTATGTACCTGATATATGACAGATATAAATATCACAAGTTAATTTATAAATTGCGTACAATTCATAAAAATTGTTTAGTTAATAACTTTTTAATAAATAACGAGTGAGGAAAAAGATCAATGACATTTTCCTTCTTCAGAGTTAAGGTTATTTGGAGGTCATTCGGGTCCGATTGTAAAGAGAAAGATTTATCTTTTTTATTACAATTCTTGTCTTTTTTTCTAGTTTTTACGGCGTTGAATAAGGCATGGTGCGTTCATCACTTTGCATGTGCATTCTGCGACCAGAAGATGAATCAGAAGACCAAGTTTTTCGAATTTGATCTAAAACCCGCGTGCAAGAAATGCTATGATAAGTTTCCGCAAGAGTTGAAAAAGCGAATGCGACGTATGTACGATCTGAATCCTAAGAGGATTCCATCAGCATAAACATAGATCTCAGCTTCGGCGAGATCTCTTCTGTATAATTCTTCATATTTAATCAATACTCATTGATTTGCTTGTAGTGCCTTTTTTGTTTTAATATTAATATAAGAAACTACATTTAACTATTTATCATATTGTAAGCTACATAGAGCCTACCAAAACTATCAGTTATTATTTATCAGTTGCAACACTTATAATTGCTATAATTATTTTTTAATAAAAGATATGAGTGCATCTTCGACTTAAAATATCTTTTCTAATTTGGTATCTACGAATAGGAGAGTGTGCAATAGTTTTTCTATATGTATACATTTTGTGTATGTGAAATGTAACATTAGTTTACACACACACACACACACACACACACACACACACACACACACACAGTGTTTCAAATCTAACTTACCTAATGACAGAAGTTATTTTGAAATTAAAATTCTATAATTTTTCATTTAAAACTAGCAAATTATACTGTTTTTACGCATTCAGATATGTGCATATAACGCAAAATGCTAAAAGTAAAGCTAATAGTTGTCTATTATTATCGATATAAATAATTACATAAGCGAAAATGAAATCATTGATATTTCTAATTTTTTATTTGGAGACACAGTAGTGTTTTAGCGCTAAGCATCATGGCGCGAAATACTTATTATGTTAAAAAAATATTTAGAATATTCTGAATATTATTAAATTTTCGTCTTAAAATGTTTCAAGTATCTGCCATTAGCAGGTGGTGCGTTAGATCTAAAATGCACTGTGTATGTGTGCGTGTGCGTGCGTGCGTGCGTGCGTGCGTGCGTGCGTGCGTGCGTGTGTGTGTGTGTGTGTGT